TTGTTTTTTTTTTTTTTTTTATGGCTGAGTGGTATTCCATGGAGTACATGTGCCACACTTTTTCAATCCATTCATCCGTTTTTGGACATTTGGGTTGATTCTATGTCTTAGCAATAGTAAGTAAGGCTGCAATGATTATAGATGTGCAAGCGCTTTTCTGACTGAAAGTGCTCTCCTGTCCTTTGGGTAGATACCCAAGAGTGGAATTGCTGGATCATATCGTAGTTCTATTTGAAGGTCTTTGAGGAACCTCCATATTGTTCTCCACAATGGCTGGACCAATTTACATTCCCACCAACAATGTAGGAGTGTTCCCCTTTTACCATATCCCTTCCAGCTTATTGTTATTTTACACACCAGATATACTTAAATTTTTTATATGCACAGAGACATTAAATGACTTGACTAAGGTCACATAGCTAGGAAGTGGTGGAGCAAGTGTTCAAAGTCAGGAAGTCTAGATCCAAAATTGTTTGGTTAACCATTCATTGCACTATAGTCTCTATTTATTTATTTATTTTAGTTTGGCTATAGGGCATGTATGCTCTCTGGAGAGAGACAGAGACAGGGAAATAGGAAAAATGAAAAATCATTCCTGGGCAGATAGCTGGGCCATGAGCCCTTCTGCTCCATTCTCTTGGGATTTGGTGCATGTACACTCCCAATATATTTTCAAGCTGCTGGGTCCAGAACTCGAACTGTGCAGTTGACAATATGGGATCCAGCTGCCTTAACCTCCATACCTCTTGCTGGCCCTATACTCCATATTTTGTGGAGTAAAGGCCAGGTCCAAACTCACCAACAGTCCATAATCTGGTAGTGAAGCCAGATTCATAATTCTACATGTAATTTCACTCAGTATGATCGGTGTCTGATACACTGTTTTCTATCTCAGATTCACTGAATGGCAAAGCTCTCACAAAAATGCCCCTCTGGGATTCCATAGTTTTCTAGTTACTATAACAACTACCACACATAATGTGTTTATGTTCTTGTTGTTCTCTTCCCATTAGATAGTGATCTTTCCATGACAATGACCACATCTGATTTACTATTATTATTCATGCTCCACGTCAGGTGCAAAGGGTTAAGTCAGTTATATACTCATTGTATGCATGCTATCATCATTGGGACCTCCAAATAAATATTCTCTCTTGGTTTATTTGCTCCCTTCTATCCCCAGTCCTTACTCCCATAGTTAACCCCTTACCTCCAGGTAAACAATCTAATGGGTTTAATGAGTTTCCTTTTATTTGTATGTATCTTGTATACATATAATGCTATTCAATGTACATATATTTTTAATTAACCAAAATGGAATTATATTATAGATCTAATTTTGTACATCTAACTTCCAACTATTCTACAGTATACTTTTCTATAAAACCACTTATCTAGGGGCCAGTAGGTAGCATGGTGGTTAAGGCCCTGGACCTGCACATGGCTGACAGCGATTTGAGTCCTGGGCCTGGCAGCTTGCTTTCTCTCTCTCTCTCTCTCTCTCTCACTATTTCCCTCTGGTGAGTGCATGTGCCCTATAAGAAATTTCAAAAAATATAATAATAATAAAGAAAATTAAATAAATAATTCTTATAAAACCCCCACTTTTCAGTATTTCCCCTGAGATACCTTATCCTTTTTCTCTGCTATTGCACACAATGCTTATATTTGCCTGTGGACCTGTATCTCTGGAACGTATGTACCCTAGAAAGGGGTGGCAGGGTCACTGAGGGTGCACGCTATAATTTGATTAAGTGCAGCCCATTTGTTCACCAGAATGATTGCACTTATTTGTAGTTCCCTTAGTAGTACCTAAAATTTTCTGCAGCTCTTAAATCCACATCAACACTGGATGCTAATTTTCTAATTTTTCCAGCTTCATGTGTATAAATGAACATGGTATTTTAATTAGTTCCTCTTTAACTGTTTATAATTGGAACCACTTTCTGTCTTTGTTAACCACATTGTGGTTCCTTTTCTGCAAATTGTTGGTTCACATTCTTTACCCATTTTGTATTGTAGGCACCTAGCTTTTCTTACCAATTTACAAGAAATCCTTGTATAGTCTTGTGAGTAGTCTCTTGTCAGTTTTAGGGATTGCAAATATTTTTTCTTAATCTTACTTCTGGCAACTTCTTCCTTGGTTTCCTTTATTGAACAGAAATCCTTAATATTTTTTAATCAAATCTAATTTTTTTTATTTCATGCTTTTGACTCTAATTTTTTTTTTTTAGAACAGGAAGTCTTCTGCATGCTAAAATCTCGAACATAGTCTTAAAATATCTCATTTAGTTTTAGATTTCATATTTACTGCTTTAATACATTTTGGAGTCTGCCTTTTTTGTTTGATGGAGATAAAGATTTATTATTTTTTTTTATTTAGTGGACCAAGTTTCTCAACTACTAATTGATTCACTTTCTCTTCACAATTTTGCAGTGCTCTCTTTGTTATACTGAAAGTTCCCATCATAGATGGATCTGTGTCTGAGCTCTATTTTGTTCCATTTGTCTTTTCTTGTGCTAATGTCATAGTTTTTTTTTTCTTTTTCTTGAGAGCTTTTCTTGCTATAGGATGCATGCTCTCGCCCCAGACCTGAGAGACAGAAAGCGAGAAATCACCACCCCCCAGGGGGGATGGCCACACCACAATCCCTTCTTCTCCATTCTCCTCTCAGGATCTTGGGCATGCACGCACATGCGCCTAGTGTGAGTTTAAGCCACCAGGTCCGGGACTCGAACCGCTTTTGGCTACATGGGAGTCCAGCGACATAGCCATTATGCCATCTGCTGGTCTCAGTCGTGTTTTGATACTATGATGTTGTAGTATGTGTTGGACAGATTCTCTCTTTCCTTTTTCTTTGTTCAGATACATTTGTTATTGCATATAAATTTTGATTCATATTTATCATTTGTCTCCAAATTTTAAATTATAATTTTTATTGGGATGGCATTGAAATTATAGATCAATCTGGGAAAATTTGCTATCATTATAAGATTAAATTATTTCATCCAAAAGCATGTAGTACCTCTCAATTTATTTAAATCTTTTGTTATCCTTTTTCATAGTTTTTAAAAATACCTTCTAAATGAGCCTTGTTTATTCTCCAGTCAAATAATTCCTAAGGACTTCATAGTATTTCTTATAATTAATGGTAACATATTTATAAAATTATACTTTATTATTTCTGGCATAGAAAAACCTCTTGATTTTTGTAAGTTGTCGTATCAAGAACAATTAACTTGGTGAAATCTTTTTTTTTTTTTTTTGAAGGTTTGAGAGATTTTTGCTATAGGGTGTGTGTGTGCTCACCAGAAAGACAGAGAGAGGAGACAGAAAGCGAGAAATCACTCCCCCAGGTGGGATGGTCATACTGCATTCCCTTCTTCTTCCTTCTTCTCTCGGGATCTTGGGCATACATGCACATGCGTCCGGTGTGAGTTTAAGCCACCAGGTCCGGAACTCGAACTGTGGTTGACTACATGGGAGTCCAGTGACATAGCCATTATGCCAACTGCTGGTCCCAAGACTCCTCCTCCCCATCGGGAAATCAAACCTCGGTCTCCTGCCTGACAGGTGGGGATACTCACCACTATACTAACGAGGATGACTGGTGAAGTCTTAATAATACTATTAACTTGATAATTCTGTGTTTTATTTTGATTAAAGATTCTGTCATTTCCAAATAATAGATTTCTTTCCTCTTCCCTTCAAATTCTTATACCTCTTTATTTCCTTTTCTTATTACATTATGTTAATACATTAACATTATCTTAATACATTACCATTATTTCTACTAAATTAGCAGTTATAGTAAATACCTTTATCTTATTCCTGCTCTCAAATGTGTCTAAATTTTCTCCATCAAAGGTATTTTTTGCTTTAGATTTGTTTTTCTTTTTTTTTTTTTTTATTTTTTGTGATAGGTTGTGTGTACTCTCCAGAGAGAGACAAAAAGACAGAGAGAGAAAATGAGAAATCAGCTACCATGGGTGATGGTCATGCTATAATCCCTTCTCCTCCCTTCCCTTGGGATTTTGGGCATGCACATACACGTTGCTGGTGTGAGTTCCAGCCTGCAGGGTCACAGGGGGTCCAGTGTCTTAAACACTATGTCACCCGTTGGTTCCAGATTTCTTATCATTTTATATAAAAATAATTATTTTATTTATTTCTAATTTCCCAACTGCTTTTTTAAAAGTTGTAATTACATATTGAATTTGATAAATGTTCTTTTTTTTCTCTTTTTTTTAAGAGAGAGATTTTTGTATAGGGAATG